TGTAATAAATTTCATCAGACTAATTCTTTTTTTTTTCAAGAAATCACAATAATTGTATATTATTAAATTATATATTAAAAGTATAAATTTAAAAAGCTACTAAAGCGAAATAGGTTGAGGTCATCTTGTTACATATCATAATGACTTAAAGCAAAGTAGATGAAAATAGGTTAACATTACCAAATACAAATCTTAGCAGTTTGTAATGTTCCTTTCAAATAACTAGGAAATATTGAAATAAAACAGGTTAAGTTCACCATAAAATCAATTTATAAATGGGGTTTCTTGACCACAGTGAGGTGTTTAAAGTCTAAAGGGCTATATACTAAATATATTTTAACAAGTGGAAAATAAAAGCACCCATAATAGGTGAATACCAAATGTGGAAGTTTTGCTGCTGTGTTGAGTAAAATATGGTATGGGGAATATGGAGCCCTTTCTGGGCGGTCAGTTTTCGCGCCGTCGGCGATTTCTAAGGCGATCAACCAGCGGGTAAGGCCATTGAAGAGAGGGGTAACTAAAGACACGAACAAGTTAGAGATAGAGTTGTGCTACTCATTTCTTAAAGAAGGCAAATCAACGGTGGTTACGTAGCCATCGTGTATTCGGCTTGTTGTTTCCAGGAGGTGAGCGCTCGTCCGGCGCGCGGGGTGGTTTGAATTTCAAACCCAGGTCGTGGAGAAGTTGTGCACCAGAGTCTAGATCCGTGGCAGTAAGTCTTCGTCCCTCGTGGATGACTAAAATTTCAACTGGTGAAGACCAGCGGAAGCGAAATTTATTTTCTTTGAGGGCTTGTGTGATCGGTCTTAGTTGGCGCCAATGTTGAAGGGTTTCTGGAGATAGGTCCAGGAGAACCGTGATTGTTGTGTTCCGGTATCGAAGGCCGTCGTTCTCCCTGGCTGTTTGTAAAAAATTTTCCCTTGTTCGGCTGTCCGGGAATGACGCAACTATGTCTCTAGGGAATTTAGAATTCTTTTTGTTCGGTGGTCCCGAGCGGAAAGTTTTATCAATCAGCGGGGCTATGTCGTCTTCTAGTTCTAGTATGCCAGCCAGCCACGTAGCGAGAAAGATTTTTAACTCGGTCCCAGCTTCCGCGCCCTCTGCGAAGTTTCTAAATTTCAGGTTGGGCTCTCTTAATTTGTTTTCCAGGAACATTATCTTAGCTGAAGCCCACTCTTCAGATTTCTGTAAATCTCTGATGTCGTCATGCGACGCCATCGCTAACTCAAAGGCCGACTCAGCAGCCTGGGACACCTCTGCTAAAGTTGACGTAATAGATTTTAAATCGTCGGCAAGAGGCTTGATTGCTAATTGTATTTGCTCTGCAATGAGAGGTTTGATGGCAAGTTGCACCTGCTCCGCTATTGCAGTCTCTAGATGTTTAATTGTTATAAAGAATTCAGAACGCGAGAGCGCTTTACCGTCATCCTCTGCAGGCTCCGGGGGGTTGCCTTCCGCCATTTTAGAGTCACAGTTCGGCGTCGTGTTGGCAGGCGATGACGGTGCTTTTAGTTTCAAAAACTGCGTGAGTTGTTGAGAGTTAGTCCCTTTTTTCATCGCTCTCGGTTGTCCGGACCTTCCCATGAGGATCTGGTTAGGCAAACAGGAAGTTTGAAGTAGCTATATTGAAGATTTGTCTGGTGGGGTGGAGGAGACGGTCTGCTACGCGTCCACCATTACTGGAAGCCAAGCTCCGCCCCCTAATTCTTTACTGGTAAGCTTCTTTTTGATTTGATAGGAATGACCATCCGGAAAGCCATGCAGACTTTTCAGCTTATTGACAAAAAATGACTTGAGACACATATGTAGTCTGGATAACTAACGTAAACCTGTAATTTTAAATTGCATGTGCACCATTTTGATTGCAGCCATTGGCCAGCAGTGGTCACTATAAGCCAAATATAGTAATTCCAGGCCCTTGATGAAAAGCTTGCACCTGGATTCTTAGCTTTGCTCTGTCTGCTGGCAGTTCTGTTGAAATACCATGCTCTGTTCTCTCCTTTTTTTGGTATAGCAAGCAGTAGAATCAGATAAAAGAGAAATAAGTAATGGGATTTCTAATGTGCTTGTTAGTTTAACTGATGAAGAATCTCAAAAAAATTGGGAAGAATTTGGCAATCCCGATGGGCTGCAAGGTTGGCTTTTAATAATACAAATTACTGTATCTATTATGAAATACTCAGCTCTTTTAGTCTGCTATATAGTCTGCTGTATCTATTATGAAATACTCAGCTCTTTTAGTCTGCTATATATATATAATGTAATAACAGTCTTGATAGAATCTGTACTAGCACTTTATATAATGTTACGTATCAGAAATTAAAAAACAATACCGTCTACTATCGCTGAACTATCCTTTATCCAGATAAAGGAGGCGATGAAGTTATGTTCATGAGGATTGCTGCGTAAGTTTTTGGCACTAGACGTAAAACTTGTGGTTGATGGAACAACTAGTCATCTCTAAAGGCTGACATCCTGACCTTTGAGCTGTTTGGTGTACATCAGCAGTTGCTGCAATGCTATCCCAAGTTACTGCCTATGCTTTTGGTATATTTCATCCTAAACTACTATGAGATGCTGCTGCAAAAATTAAGAGTAGGCTGCCAAGAAGTTTCTAAGCATAATACTCTCATCTTCTGGCAGATCTAATAGCTAGATAAACTCCCCTCGAGATCATCTAGATCATTTACAGTCAAAGACAAAACATGAACTTTCCGAAGTGTATTTCGTCATATTTTTCTGGTGGTATAAGACATTTGAGAAGAGATAGTGGTGCTGTTCACAAATGAGGATTAAACTATGCTTTAGAATCCCAGTTTGTTTAGAAGAAACACATTCCAGTTTGTCCAGGAACCCTCATTTGGGCTTCATAACACACTGGGATTAGAGTGAAGACTTCCAAAACCAGGGCTTTACTCATGTCCCATTTCCAGGAGGGAAGGAGGAAGGGGGAGCATGGGCATGACCAACCAGTTGTTTCTCTGTGATAAACAAACACTGGGAAATCTGAGAATGGCTATAGTAATAAGATGCTTAAAGCTGTGAAACACGAACCTAGGGATTGAGTGTTCCATGCAGTGCATGTCTTTCTTTCACTGATGCTGTGTTCATCTTTCCCCCCCCTTTCTTGCTTTCTTACACTTCAGTTTTTACTAGTATCATCAGTTTTGTAAAACCCCAAACAATATGCAGGACAAATGATACACACTGACATGGTTTATATAAATTGATTGGAGAACTGTGTAATAAATTTCATCAGACTAATTCTTTACTAGTAAGCTTCTTTTTGATTTGATAGGAATGACCATCCGGAAAGCCATGCAGACTTTTCAGCTTATTGACAAAAAATGATTTGAGGCACATATGTAGTCTGGATAACTAACGTAAACCTGTAATTTTAAATTGCATGTGCACCATTTTTATTGCAGCCATTGGCCAGCAGAGGTCACTATTAGCCAAATATAGTAATTCTTAGCTTTGCTCTGTCTGCTGGCAGTGCTGTTGTAATATCATGCTCTGTTCTAAGGACTCTTTTTTTGGTATAGCAAGCAGTAGAATCAATAGAGAAATATGTGATGGGATTTCTAATGTGCTTTTCTCTCCCCCTTGTTAGTTTAACTGATGAATCTCGAAAAAATTGGGAAGAATTTGGCAATCCCGATGGGCTGCAAGGTTGGCTTTTAATAATACAAATTACTGTATCTATTATGAAATCTTGTCCTGATTCTTGCAATATTACTTTTGTATTTGGATTGTTGTAGACTTGATAAATATGATGTATTTATGTTTACTACAACCATTTGAGGTATTTAAGACTGGGAAATAGCAACATGCATCATATTTGAAGTGGGGATACCATATCCCAAAAGAGTAATTGGTTCGTTTTGTCAAACCGGGCTCAGTAGTAGTCCAAAGAGATCTAGCATGGTAAATTTTTTTAAACCTTGGTTTATGAATTAGATCACTTGACTGCACTATCTTACACAGCTAAATTTCATATAAATAAATTAGAGTTAAGGGAACTTGCATAAATTTCAGGAAGTGCTAGAAAATTAAAGAACACATGACATATACTGTTTGCCTGATGAATTTACGTGAATTTACTGTCTTGCCACTTCATGACATTTCTGTTCTTTGTAGCTACAAGTTTTGGGATTGCATTGCCAGCTTGGATTGTGGATCAGAAGAATTCTATTTTGGTGAGTTAACACTGTACTCACTGCCAAACTGGCTGTCAAACCTAAAGCTGCAGTGCACATTGTGCATGAGCGTGTGGGGCTTAGACACCAAAAGGAAATTACTTGCACATGCCGAAAGTGAAGGTAGACCTTTCTCTTTAAGGAGCTACCTGTGAGAAGTGCATGAATTTGGTCCAGTTGGAATCATGGCCATTCTGTAGAAAGTTAATACATGCTTGCTTGTTTGCTTCTGCCTAGAATGGTGCAATCTAATCTGCCCGCAATTAGTCCATAATGATTTATAGGAGCTGTTTTATAGCACTGAAGTTAGGAGCATTGTGGAACTTTGTCAGGGCACTTCTAATATTTTCTTTCCATTCTGTCTTTCTAGGTTTTGCTAGTGTATGGATTAGCATTTATGGTTATTCTTCCAGTGGTTGTAGTAAGTATTGCTTTCAGTGTGGTTTGATAAAGCCCTGAGCTCACTGCCATTGTTTCCCTGCAGGTCCTAGAAATGGTAGTGAGTAAAGTCACTGCCCTATGATTACATCAGCTATGTAGCAACTTAGTTCATTCAGAATCCACTAATCACAGCTTCGTTATGTAGAGTTTAGTTTTTATTGCTGGGCACAGAAAACAGTTGAAACCTGAACAGCATTCATATAGCCATCCCAAATGCTTAGGAGTGTGTTGCAGCCACTGATAATGTTACTATGCCCCTTATGCCTGTGTGTGTCTGAAAATGAAAATTGAATAGCTTACAGAATCCTCATAAATCTCTATTTGCTGAGGATCTTTGCAGCATGGACCAGGTTACTCATCTGTAAGAGTGTTTACAGGATTTGAATAGGTCCCTGCAGAGGCCTTTAACCTTGATGTGGAAGGCAAGAGAGGGGTTAGAGCTGGAAAAGTTAAATTGGTGATAAACCTGCGTCTTGTGCTTGCACATGACTGAAGGTAAAAAGGGAATGGCCTGCACAATAGCATCTGCATCAAGCGAACAATTTCTGCCTACTTAGGGAGTACAGACTGAGGTACATGATGCCTTCTGGTAGAATCCAAGTATTCCCATTAGCAGTATTTCTCCCATTCCCCGTATTTGGGCATCCTACATCTCCAGCTTATATAATGTAGAAGGATCCTTTTCTGAAGCGTACAGTTATATGAACTTAAGGGCTTCATCCTCTGAAGGTAGTGGTGGCTTTGATAAAACAGGCAGTGTACCTGTGGTACAGGCTGTTTTATCAGGCTTTTGCAAATGTAATATTGTTTGTTTAGTCTACTATTTTTGTGTGTACATTTTCTTTGGTATTGGAACTTAAAGAATGATTTGATTGCGTCCAGATGACATCAATAGCTGCCATTTTGCCAACTTAAATATTTTAGGGTTCCTGGAGGTATCGCTCAATACGCTACAGTGGAGACCAGATTCTCATCCATACAACTCAGATCTATACCTATTTTGTTTATGAAACAAGAAATATGCATATGAAAAGTAAGTTTTTTCAATTGCTAGTTAAACACACAAGGCTGGAAGTCGTGTACTTTATATTAATTTCATTTGTTTTTAGATTCAGGTGGTCTGAATTTGTTTCTGACGGAGTGTGCATCTACATATGCTAAATTTCTCTGTTCTCACTTATACCCAGAATTGAACTTAGTTGGTCTTGGAGGTGCTGCTGGGCTCAGACTTCGTATTTGTAAGCTAATTTACTGCCATTCACAGATCTTACTAACCGCTGTAATCCAATCTCTGCTATAATTGCCCAGTTACTTATGCAATTTGACTCTAACTAGCCCTTCCTGGCAACTACCCTCCCCCCCCCATATGTAATGGCTGAGGAATTCTGTTTCACTGTATCTGAAGACGTGTGCTTGCACACAAAAGCTTATACCTTGAATAAAACTTGGTTGTCTTAAAGGTGCATCTGGGCTCAAACTTCATTTGTTTTTAGTGACTGTGCAATATGTGTGAGCTCTTCATGGCCTGTGGATTTGATTAGGCTCTAAAACTTTATACTGGGTGGAAATGTAGGCAAGTTGGACCTAATTCTCGAGGTTATAAACATGAGACTGGGCTATAGCATTGCAGCTGGGGATTCACATGTCTGAATGTTTCCCCATACAAAACTTTCTATACACATGGGAATGGCTGGGAGTATAGGGGGAGGGAAAGTTAGTAATGGCAGAAAGATGGGGGATGCATGTCACAAACCCACCCTTGGTCTTTGTGTTCTCACATGCTTGTGGCATGTGTGTCTGCGTGTAAAAGTATGTTTCTCTTCAAGCCACCACCCAGGTTATAAAACCCAGCCTATCGTGTAACCACTGCCTTGGGGAAGCACTGGTGAGGCTGTCTCTGAGCAAGTCCAAAGGGCAGAACTTCCAGTCCCACCCCCACATTCATGTTCTTAGTGTGTAGGAGCAGTCTAGGTGTGTGGGTAGGATCTGAATCACAATAGACTTTCTTAAACAGGAAAGAAACTATATTACTACAGATTAAGCTAGAGCGCATACATGGAAAATAGCTGTCACGCCTAGTGAGACAGATCTAAGGAAGGAGGACAATTCCAGACAGTTAACTTTGGTGGAGCAAACACATTCCCAAACTCCCAATTGCCCCCTTTGCAAAGAAATGTGTATATGGTCACTGCATCTGGGTAAAGAACAAAGGAAGATTCCTTCTCTAAAAACTTTTCTACCTACTTTGATGGGAGCCTTGCCCAGTCCAGAGTTAGGAAACCTGTCCTTATGGGAGATAAATTAGACTCTTCCCCAGTCAGGTTACTTGGCATTCACTACATGCTTCATAGTACACATCAGGTTTTACAACCACCATCAATCCGTCCCCCTTGGCAGTTAGGTCGAATGGACTATCTCAGATCAGAAACCTATCTCCTGTGTTTTCTGAGCCTTGGGCATATTTTATTGCTCTTCTTCTTATGCAAATAAACCATTGCCATGATCTGAGGGATTCTTTGATGCTCTCTGAAGCATTTTGGCCCTTTCTGCACTCTCCTTTTAATCCATGTTCACCACGGTGTCCTCCAAGCAATTCTGCACTAAAATCAGATTCAACCTTCTTTTTATTCCATCCCTGCCGCCGTTCAATGGTTGGCCCAGCTTCAGCCTGCTATTGCCCTGGGGGGGGGGGGGGGGTGTTGGATGCTGTTTTGCCACGGAGTTAAATCGCCCCGACAGAGAAACCTGGAGTGGCAAGCAAATGTAGAAAGGACCCATCTCTGAATCCGCAACAGGCAGACGTAAATTGACCCTGGGTAGGTCATGGGATTTTTCTTCTTGAGTCTGGATCAGAAGAGACATATGCTTTTTCATTTGCACTTCTGCACTGGGACTTACCCATTCTTCCTGCAGTACCTTGTGCTGCATCGGAGGCTGTTATAGAGGACTCCCAGGCTTTGGGAAACAACTTTTCAGGAGAAATGTGGGTATGCTGATTTTTCAGGGGAGTTGGGAACGCTGAATTTGGAATCTTGTCCCTTCTTCTCAACAGAGGAATTTGAAAGTCTTGGGATTTTTTTAAAAAGTAGGGATCATAGGATTGTTTCAGCATAGCATTTTTTAAAAATCTTCCATATTAGACACTCAAAATGAATTGCGTATGCAGTATGAGCCTTCCTTTACTTTTGTTTTGACTTAGCATTGTTTCTTTCAAGAGACATGAATTTCATGTGGCAGTAATTATGGTTACTGTTTCAAATGTGTTTTTGGGGGGGGTTTTGGTAGTATGTTCGACCTAAAGTATGTTGTTGGACCCCATCAGCATGCAGAAGAGATCCTTTGCTCATGCCATTTTATGCTTGAGCATTGTTCGAAAAGTGAACTAAACCCAGTAGCCTTTTAAAAACTGGTGCACATATTTCACCTGAAGGACCACATGGCCATGTTGGGAGACATGCAGGTAATTCTTCTGTCTAAACTGGGGCATTGTATCCTGGAGAGTCAGTGTGGCTACAGTGGTTAGGATCTGGGAGACCCAGATTCAAATCCCCAAACTGCTGCAGAGACTTCCTAGGTGACTCCGGGCTAGTCCAACCCTCTCAACCTCACCTACCACATAGGGTTCTTGCGAGTGTAAAATGGAGGCGAGAAAGATACAAGATGCTTTGGATCCACATAGGGGAGAAATGTGAGGCATAAATGAGGGAAATAAATGGTTCCTGACACATCAGTCTGCAGTGTCAATTAAATTCTCGTATGCTTTTAGCATGGAATATGTTAATTATCTAGACACTACAGTGTATGTCTTTGATAGCAAACTGGCTATTTGATGGATTAATACTGTTCCCGAGTCAATTAAGTTCTCGTATGCTGTTAGCATGGGATGTGTTAATTCTCTAGACACTACAGTGTATGTCTTTGATAGTGTATTCAAGGGATAAATACTGTTCCCGAGTCAATTAAGTTCTCGTATGCTGTTTGCATGGAATATGTTAATTCTCTAGACACTACGGTGTAAGTCTTTAAAAGCAAACTGTCTATTCAATGGATTAATACTGTGCCCGAGTCAATTAAGTTCTCGTATGCATGTGTTCATTATCTATGCACTACGGTGTATGACTTTGATAGCAAACTGTATATTCAAGGGATAAATACTGTTCCCGACTCAATTAAGTTCTCGTATGCTGTTAGCATAGAAGGTGTTAAATCTCTAGAAACTACAGTGTATGTCTTTGATAGCAAACTGTCTATTCGCTGGATTAATACTGTTCCCGACTCAATTAAGTTCTCTTATGTTAGCATGGAATGTGTTAATTCTCTAGACACTACGGTGTATGTCTTTCATAGCAAACTCTCTATTCCATGGAATAATACCGTTCCTGAGTCAATTAAGTTCTCGTATCCTGTTAGCATGAAATGAGTTAATTCTCTAGATTCTACAGTGTATGTCTTTGATAGCAAACTGTCTATTCAATGGATGAATACTGTTCCCGAGTTAATTTAAGTTCTCGTATGCATGGCTTCATTCTCTATTCACTACGGTGTATGTCTTTGATAGCAAACTGTCTATTCGATGGATTAATACTCTTCTCGTATGCTGTTTGTATGGAATGTGTTAATTCTCTAGACAATACAGAGTATGTCTTTCATAGCAAACTGTCTATTCGCTGGATTAATACTGTTCCCGAGTCAATTAAGTTCTCGTATGCAGTTAGCACGGAATGTGTTAATTCTATAGACACTACAGTGTATGTCTTTGATAGGAAACTGTCTATTCAATGGATTTATACTGTTCCCGAGTCAATTAAGTTCTCGTATGCATGTGTTCATTCTCCATTCAATGGATTAATACTGATCCCGAGTCAATTAAGTTCTCGTATGCTGTTTGCATGGAATGTGTTAATAGACAGTTTGCTTTTAAAGACAACGGTGTATGTCTTTCATAGCAAACTGTATATTCAATGGATTAATACTGTACCCGAGTAAATTAGGTTCTCGTATTCTGTTAGCATGGAATGTGTTAATTCTCTTGAAACTATATGTCTTTGATCGCAAATTGTCTATTCGCTGGATTAATACCGTTCCCGAGTCAATTAAGTTCTTGTATGCTTTTAGCATAGACACTACAGTGTATGTCTTTGATAGGAAACTCTATATTCAATGGATGAACACTGTTCCCGAGTCAATTAAGTTCTCGTTTGCTGTTAGCATGGAATGTGTTAATTCTCTAGACACTACAGTGTATGTCTTTGATAGCAAACTGTCTATTCAATGGATTAATACTGTTCCCGAGTCAATTAAGTTCTCGTATGCTGTTAGCATGGAATGTGTTAATTCTCTAGACACTACAGTGTATGTCTTTGATAGCAAACTGTCTATTAAATGGTTGAATATTGTTCCCGAGTCAATTAAGTTCTCGTATGTTGTTAGCTTGGAATGTGTGAATTCTCTAGACACTACAATGTATGTCTATGATAGCAAACTGTCTATTCAATGGATTAATACCGTTCCTGAGTCAATTAAGCTCTTGTATGCTGTTAGCATGGAATGTGTTAATTCCCTAGACACTACAGTGTATGTCTTTGATAGGATACTCTATATTCAATGGATGAACACTGTTCCCGAGTCAATTAAGATCTCGTATGCTCTAGACACTACAGTGTATTTGATAGCAAATTGTCTATTCGCTGGATTAATACCGTTCCCGAATCAATTAAGTTCTTGTATGCTTTTACCATAGACACTACAGTGTATGTCTTTCATAGACACTACAGAATTTGTCTTTCATAGCAAACTGTCTATTCGATGGATTAATCCTGTGCCTGAGTCAATTAAATTCTCGTAACCTGTTAGCATGGAATGTGTTAATTCTCC